TTAAGCAAAACCATGTGAAGGGTTTGATTAGTGCCTCGTCTGTGAGCTGGCTCTGAGCATACCTGACATCAGGTGGTGCCAGCATTACCAGAGGACACAACTGCAATGCTGGGATTTGAAGAAGTTGCTAATAAACTTACATGTTTGTAATTATTTAACTTGTCTGACAGCGGTTTGTGTCACGTTTCTAAGAGCATGGAAAATCAGAGGACTGTAATTTTGTCGGTAATTTTAACATTTTCAATAGTGGTGAACCAGTAAAAGTATGACTTCCTGGTGAATAAATTGAACATCAAAGCCAGCGGACTTTGAGCCATTACCCTTTTGCTTCTTTGCTGTGCAGCTTTGGGCTCATCGCTCCAGAACCCACCTCAGCCCGCCTAGCTGTACGGCTGTGGGCAGAACACACACTGGAGAATCATTCAGGGTTTTGTATGCAGCCAACCTTTTCACATGGGTAGAAACTGCATGAATGAAATCCAGCAAGAGCTTTGAAGATTAAATACTACAGTACAGGGTCCTTTCCCATTCACCCTCACCTCTTTCCAACTATGTGAAAAGCTACCAGGAATGACACATTTACATTGGTACTTTGTAAACTGGTAGCAACAGGAACAAGATGAGCCAAAAAAGAAAAAAGAAAAAGAAATGGCCTAGAGCTCTACTAATAAAACTGCATTTTCCATCATGTAACTTACTTATCTAGCAATTTACTCATCAGCCAACGCAAAGCTTATAATAGAGCGTGTTTTCATCCTCAGACCAGAAAAACAGTAAGAATGTCTAGAATCATTCAACTTTTCTCATAAAAGGCTGAGGTTAGGACAGATTGGTTACCACTACCCAGCTAAGTCAAACTTAAAATCCTACATGTTTTACTAGAAGTAAAAGCAAATTAAATTCTAGCCAGGAGCGTAAATTCTATGTCTCAAAGTCGAATGGATGATGGCTGTCAGGAACTAGTTGAAAATAGGTGGCCAGCTAACTTCAACCTATGGCTGAACTAAACTCAGCCTTTGCTCCTAATCTACACGGCCCTAGATATCGATCTGTTCCATTAAAAAAACACGTGAGACAAATAGGAGCAAGCAACGAGGAGGAAAAATGAGGCCTAGAAGTAGAAAGACAGAACAAAGCAGAGGGGGACACAAAACAAGACCAGTGATCATTACACTGGCTTTCTGCATGATTATTCCCAACTAGAAATACGTGAGTATAGTCTCAGAGTTATTCTGACAAGTATCAAATAAAAAAGCAGGGGATAGCTTTGCAGCTATCAGATAAAGCACACATATCCCAATTCTTCTTGAGCAATTTACTGTGCACTAATGAACCAGTGGCAGTGCACATTAGTCCTTCAAATAGTTTTAATCAATTTCATTTGTACACTTGCAGGAGTTGTCATGGAAGTAATATAGTACATATAATTAACACATGATACCCTCTACTTCCTGATTGTAGGATCAGGCTGGTTCATAGGTTTTGGCACACATAACAGGATGAATTTTCATTGTAAGATAATTTTAAGGGAAAATATGTTGTTCCTGCAACTATGAAAAGTTATTTTCATGTTAATATGGCGGGAGCAGGGAATGAGAGGAATAAGCAATCCACCTAGCAAGGTAACCTCTCCTTCCCAAACGTGGGGAGGTTTGTTTAAAAGCCATTTTGGAGGCCTCCTTTCAGTACTGAGACCTGCAGTCAGCTAAAACTCCTATTCAGTCTTCTCACAGTTATCTTAATCGATTTCAGCTTAAAGCTTTCTGACACGGTATCTGAAAGAGTTCTTGTCTTTGAAGAGAGGAATTCAGAGCAAGTTTCCTCCTGCTCTTGCATTGTTTGAAGTCAAGTGTTGTTACTGGGATGAATCAAATATATAATTAAAGACCAAATTTAAGTTTTGGCTGTTTTCTTTGGAAAATTGCTAGAACTGTGTAATTGATTTTTTGCTTCGGTGGCCAAACTGAAATAAAATCATTAGCTAAACTTTGAGTGCTTAAAAGCAACCCACAACATTTTGTTCTTTAACTTTTTTTTTCCCCAATAAAAGACAATAAATGTCTGGAATCATACAGCTTTTCAGAGCAGAGTAGAGGAAGGAAAGTTCCCAGCTTCAAACGGGTGTTGTGCTTGGTGAGCAGTAGTACATTTTGAAATACTAAAAATAGGCTGTTGAATCCGACAGTCCCAACAGGAGCAGGGAGAACTCATTTTCTTTGGCTAAAATCATTGGGAAATGTTAATTTAATTTACAAATATTTTTGCCTATCTATTACACATTGGGAAAGTTTTGCCTAATTGTAAAATGAAGAATGGAAATAGTCTGAGGGAGTTTGTTGTATAAGGAAAAATACTCCTTCCAAGCAGGAACTGAGCTGATGGGCATCTGATCACTTGCTGTCAATGGCGAAGAGGGAAAGGAGATCATTTCAAAGGTTGATGCATTGATTCAGAAGCTTTTTGTTGAGAATCAGAATGAGACAAAACATTTATTTTTATAATTTTATCATTTAAAGTCCAACAGGTACCACCTCTTTCTTGAGTTACCAGAGGGAGAGGTGGGGCTTGGATGAATAGACCATAGAGATCTTGGATGGAAAAAAGTCTGAACTAAACCAGAACTAGGCATCCAGCCTCCCTTCTAGCCTAACAATTCCTTATCAGGAATTGGCAACATAACAGTAGCCATTTCAAAGGCACTGATTTAACATTATGAATTTCAAAAAAAGAAGCTTAGGTACATGTAAGACATTACAAAGGATTGTTATGTGCTCAGGCTTTCAATCACAACCCTGATTCAGTCCAAATTCATAGGGAGCCTGCGGGCTTTTGGAGAAGCAATTCAAAATCTGAGCTTCTGAAAACCTTCTGTGTCATCTTTCAAAAAGTGAGAAAATAAATATTACTAAGGATATCTATTGCATTTGACCTTCATAAACACTCACTTATTAGTTGCTAAGCAGGTCTCTTCTCATTTTAAAAATGGAAAATAGCAAAAAGAAAAGGACATAACTGGCCCACTAGAGTGGCAGTGACAATATGCTGTTAAAACTCAAGGATTACTGATTCCATTTCATAGGCTTATTTTTCCTCAATTGAAAAATGATAATTATGTAGCAGAGTACAATATGGTGAGCTGTAGGTGTACGTATTCCTCTGCATGTATGTGTGCATGCATGCTTGAGCACGTGTGCATATATGGTAATTGCTCTCATGCAATGTGGTATTTCAAGTTTCAGTTGGGGCTACTTGTTTTTCCCTCCCCAGGACAAACAAGTTTCTATAGGGGAGAGCAGCAGGCTTCAGTAGCAGGGTGGACTGGTGTTACTGCCTCAGCTTGCCTGGTCTGGGGACTGACTGCATGAGGTTTTCAAATTAAATAAGCATGCAAGCCAAACCCTAAAATAAAAATGGCAAAATACAGGGGACACAAGGAGGAAAGCAATCCCCCTCTTTGCTAAGACACCTCAAAAATCATTGTCTCTCAAGCTATATATTCAAAGCCTCGGTTCTCCCTTACCCTGTCACTACATTGCCTGTTGCACAGTCAACTGGCTGCCTTGCAGGGAGGAAGTGAAAAGGACTTTGCTTTATTACAGTCAGCAGAGCTGGTGTCTTACAAGCACCCAAGAGGCAGCACTGTCAAGATGCCAGGTGCTCAGCACAAAGCCCTGTGGCTTCCCTCTCTTCACGTCTATGGTAGTGTCCTTTTCCCAGTTGCCAGCCTCAGAGGAAGAAAAAAATCTGTAGTACAAACAGCTGAAAAGCACTTAAAGCAGAGGAGGTGGAAGGAAAGTTGAGTGCAAGAAGAGGTGCAAAAAATGTAATTAGGAACTCAAATTCAGGGATAACATCACAGGCCTTGTCAATATATGGTTATATTAGACCTGCAGCTCTGCATAATAGCCTTCCTGAGAAAATACATTACTGACATTTCTAATATTAATGCATCCATGAAGGGAGTAAATTGTCCACTGCATGAACTCTCCATTTTCATGTGTGGCTTCTTGTGTCTCTGTATTAATAAATGTACAGAACTCAGATTTTAAAAAAGATATTTTTGCACAGTCCCAGACTGGTTGAAGAGGTTTGGCAACAGGCTGCAACTGTCCCTGGCTGTAGGAAGCATTAGTTTTTCCTTCCGGGTCTTCGTAATGAGATACACTGGCAAGAACAAACCAGAAAACTGCCTGAAGAGTCACATCCTCTTTTCACAGCAGCCCTTAGACTTCTGACACCAACACTATTAATTTGTCACCTCTCCCTAGTACTTGTTGTTACTCAAACATGCAAGAGAAGCCAAGTACTTGTAATCTATGCTTGTGGCCCAGGTCACAAAATAAGGCAGCCACTCTTGATGGATTTATTTGCACAGAAGTTGGGCTTGCTGAGACAACCTTCTTTCCTTGGAGAGAGCATTTGAGGAACTCCACCAAAGGGAAATTAAACATCCCAGAGGCAAAGGTATAAGTGGGAAAAAAAAAAACCAAAGCAAAACAAACTTCCAAATATAAGAAAAGGAAAATGTTTTAGAGCTTATCACAAGCAAGTCTTCAGTCTAACTCCAGAATGCTATCAGGTTGTGTTATACCATGGCAGTAATCCTGGCTTAATTACAGCACCTCTTAAACCAGTTTTGGATCATATTTCTCTCTCTGTTATGCTTTGGGAATGTGTGATGACAGGAATGCAGTACTGCTGCTGCACACATGCTGTAGCTCACCAATTCATTTTTCTGTGTGCTGGTTTATGCTCTGTGGTATTTATTTTAACTTGCATGATTTTTAAGACAAACCTGCCTCTGCTATGAAAAGAAAGGCTCCCCTGTTTTTTTCATGCCAGACTTTATGATCACATTTGTGCTTGCTCTGCACAGAAGACAATTGATGCAGAAGGGTTTTAAATCTGGGTATCCGAGAATACCTGAAAGTGTACCACCCTACCAAAGGGAACACAGGCTGTACAGCCTTCACTTTGATGCATGCTTTTCCTTCCCCATAATCACTGACTCAAAGCCAGTTAGTAAAAATGGATGGAAGCTGGTTTGTAACTCCTTAGTATACAAAACCAGCTGAAGAGGGAGGCAAGCTATGAATCCTGAGTAGTTCTGCACACAGTCAAGCATTTATTAAACCTCTCACATACAATAGAATTCAAAACTTTGGAGAAGTGGAGTTACAGCAACTCAATTCATTCACTGCCTGCTCTTCCAAAGGACACAGTAGTAAAAGACGTGCCAAAAATGTTGGCCTCAGCTTTCTTGTTTTCCACTGGTGTCACATATCATTAGTACCCTGGTATTTAAGTAACATACTGATATATGGGGGCCAGCTGTACCGCAAGTTGGAAAGACAGCTTATCCTTCTGCTTTGCGAGTTGAAAAAAACAGAGAGTGAGAGCTGAGTAGGCAATGTAGATCCCACCAGCAGTAAAAGCCATTACAGATTATGTTTTTAAAGACTAATTCACACATCTCTGTGTCTCCTTCCATTCCTCCACAGAGCCGATGTTTCTGCTTTATGCTTGTGTAACACTTCACAAGATTATGAGACAGCATCAGGCACGAGCAGGCCTTGGGCTCTGGTGAAGCTCCTGGGTGCTACAGCAGAATAAACAACACACAGATTCTGCCTGTCAGGTAGGCACCTTTTAAGGAAAAATGCATTGAGAAAGAAAAGAAGGTCCTTGGTAATAGCAAGTGGGCACTATTTTGCGTGTTGCACGGCTATTATTTAGTATGTTGGTTTTAAGCTCTAAATTCTCGTCTAGAAGAATTAATCACAATACACAAAACCGAACAAAGCACCACAGGCATGTTTGCAAATGGGACAGTGAACACAGTTGATGGACAGTCCTAAAAACTGAAGCAGCATACCAAGGGAACTAAATCCCAGCAGCTGCTATAATGCCACAAAGCATTTGCTGAACAACCCAATACTAAGCTCCCTCTCAGAATTCTTGCTTATACAGCTGTGCAATATAGTGAGTATATTTTATAGATTATATATATAGCCTGTGTAACAGGCAGAGATCTTAAAAACCTTAGAAAAGTTGAGAGGCCTGAAAATAGGCTACTCCACCCTTTGTAAACAGCCTCTTCTCATGAATTTACATTCATAGGTCCATGAAGCTCTGCCTATATTAAATTGGCTTTCAAAATAGTGGTTTAGCACTGAAAATGTACATGTCCCATCAATCAGTCTGAAGAGAGTGCAAGCAAGAGACAAACCCAAGAGCAAAAAAAACATTGATTCATCATCTTACAGAAAAGTAATTCAATTACTTCTTGGATATTTTATTATAGTCTCAGATTCAGGGGCTGTCTCATTGTCATATCCCAGTATTTGGGCAAGGAAAAACACTAAAGAGGAGTCAAACCAAAACAGAAATTAGGTGACTCAACACATGCCAGACTAAAAGGCTTCTGGAAAACCAATGCAAAACTATCAGCCTGAATGTCCTCTGGACCACACTGCAGAGTTGCAGAGTCAATTTGTTCCCAAGAAGGTGGCACTCTTTAGTCATTAGTTTTCAGTGGGACCCTGAAGATTCTCTCTTCTCTTCTGAAGACACAGTAGCACTTGTCAGAAAGAAGACCCCACTCCTCAACAGCTACCCTGCCTATTCCTGCTTATCACAGTTTGTCGCCACCCTCCACTTAGCTTTTGATGCTCTGACATTACCCACCTGTGTGTACCCCGAGACAATTTCCCATTGCCCTGTTGAGATGAACGTTTATTCAGGCATCTCTTGCACTTGCCTCTCTGTAGAAGCTGTTCTGAGCATTTCTCCTGAGTGTAGAGATTTTTGTATTCTAGTAGAGGAACAAGAAAAAAACATTTTATAGCACTGGGTCTCAAAGCTCTCCCATCACCTTGTATGAAGGTTACATGTTTCAGCTGGGGACTAGTCCAACAAAATAATTTTTGTCTTACTAAGTGATGCCCTGCTTTAACAGTGCAATCTGTTAAAGTACACGGATAAACCACACAGAGCTCTACTACTTTTTTCTTATATATCCTTCTGTATTACTTTGTTATTAATTTATTTGCTTTTAAACATGAAGAGGGACTTAAATCCAGCGGAGCACTGTACCTCCCAGATTGTTGGAAGGTCAGTGCCAGATCTTTAACTCCTCTATGGAGCTAAGCAGAAAGGAGCAGCACCCAGAGCCTCATCTTAGGGAAATGCTTCTAACATAGCACTTCAGTGACACATTATATATAAGAGCAGTCTCTGGTGTGATTTTTTCAACCTACAACTTTCCTATCAGAGTCAAGGCAAAAAATAAGTGAAACATGTAGATGTTATGAAGAAAAACACCCCTTATTACAGAGGAATATCATTACAATGGCCAAATTTAAATGGTCAAATTAAGAAAGGTAAACTAAAATCAAATTGCAAAGATAAAGAAAAAATTTTCTGTCTAATTCTGAAAAGCATACTCCTCCCTCCCACCACAAAAGCATACTTACATCCTTTAAAGCATGTGAATGGCAATGGCATAGGATAAGGTTTATTTCAAAATGGTTTTTGTATTACAATGATTTTTTGTAAGGCAGAAAGAATTTTAGATTTCTGGAAATCTAAAAATACCTCTTTCAAAAGAAGCAAGCATCTTAAGTGGGACAATTTTCCAGCATTAGAATTCTGTTTGAATAAGAATCATGTACAAAATTAAGAGCTGGAAAGTCTCTAGTCTTCATTAAAACTGATCACTATTGAACTGAATTCAATACCTACACAAGCCAAGTGTGGTAAATCTTATTAGTTATGGTGCTCATCTAAGAAACTCTTGCAAGGAGTCACCGTGTTTCCGTACATAAAATTTTCAAGTGCTCTTTGCCCTCAGCTATTCCAGGAATCAACAAATACACAGGACCAATATTTCTTAGACTATAACAGAAAGTAAAATAAACTCTATACACAAGTGCTCAGCAACTTATCTCTTAATCTCTTTCTTCATGGGGGAGATGTTTGGTAACCTTTCCATCTCCCACACATTGTAAGGTAGATCAGGCAAGCTGCCTTCACAGCTGGCAGATTTCAGATTTGTCAAGCATGATGCTAATGCCAAATTGTTTTAGTCTTCCTTCCTCTCCAAAGGTGGCTATTACTATTATCTAAGCTGATGGAACCAAGACAAAATAAACACAGACATTCAGGACTGAAACAATGATAGACTATTCAAGAAGATATTTAAGTGCCCTAAGTCGTCCAAGGAGTAAAAAGTTACAAAACCAAGTACTGCTTTTTATTGCCCACATCCCTGTGTCATTGCTGTGGTACTTAAAAAAAACACAAACCCTATGGATTTCTACCCACCACATAGTAATTACTGAAATAACAAAGACTTGGAAAACAGTATTTCCAAAGCCCTATGCTATTACTTAACTGCCAATGAAAAAACTCTCACTAACACCCCTTAAGTCTATCCTCCTGCACTCCTAATCTGAACACAAAAGGTTGGGTTTAAACACCCACCCTGAGATTAAAATCGCCTGGAGTTTTCAGCTTCAGGCCAGCAATGACAATACTTTAAATCCTTGGCTACTGGCTCCATGAAGACACAGCCCACAGACAGTCCTCCAAAGTTCTTTGAAATGTTAAATACAAAGCAGGAGGAGGTCACAAAGGAAATATTCCTCATAAAAGGAATGCATATCATATGCAGGCTTTTCAAAGACATTTCTCAGTTGCTTTGCTTTCAGCCACCGTAGTCTCAATCCCACATTATCTGAATTTTTTGAAATAAAATTCAGGAATGAAATGAAACACACAAACTAGTGCTGTAAACAGCTGCCAATATATGCATGTGTTACTTTTTAGCTCTCACAAATCTTTCCCGTGTATACTGTATCCTACCTCTTATCTGGAAAGACTAATTATTTACCTAATAAACAGTCCTACAACAGTTATCAAAAACCCAGCCTCTTAGAAGTAGCATATAGGTTTTATTGCATAATCTTTTGTAGCATCTGCCCTATTATTCCAATAGAAGTGTGGTTCCCTGCTGCACTGGAAATCCAGCTATCTTTGTGCCAAGATGCTTCCAGTGTACACAGAAGGAATGAGGATTGAGAGACCTGTTTCACCCCCTTATCCCATCAACTAACAAGCCTTTTCTCCACTGCAGTTTTTCTCAACAAAGACAAGTAATTATGCAGGAGGATGGGATTTCAAGGTAGGATAAAAAGAAAAAAAAAAACCACAAAACCAAAAACCCAAACCCACAAAAACCCCAAAATCAGTTTACCATACCAGCTTTGCTAAGAAGTACTGTCAGCTTAAACTATGAGATAGTGGCTCTCAGGATACAGGAGCAGGCAAACAATGATGGTGCCCTGCTGCTGACATAAATCCCAGCTGGGAGTGATGGGCATTGTGGCAGGTAGTGATAAAGTGATGGTAGATAGCCAAGTGTTCCTGTCCACTTGCATTCCCCTGGAGGTAAACAGGGTGGTAGTTGTATTTCTGGCCCTTGCCCCATCCTGAACACTCAGTGCCTTTCCTTCCCCATTTGGGTACCTTAAACTCAAAGAAAACAAATTCATTTTGAAGAACTTGTGTTTGGTTTGCCTCTCTTGTAAGGTCTCACAAGCCCAGAAGATACTACCTGCCAGCAAGATGCCCCTCCACACATCCATAGCAACATTCCTGTCCAGATTTACAGATTGTGTAGTTGAGGAGGAACATAACCAGTTGTCACAGTGATGTCTGCAGTCAGAGGAGCCTTTGGACCTCAGTCTCATGAAAGGTACCAAAAGTTAAAAACACACTTAGATGAAGTGGTTAATGGAAGCAAGTGCTCCATACAGCAGTAAATACATCGTTAAATCACTGGTGATCCTGAATAACCAAGCTATTGCAGTTTGAAGTTATTCAAGCTGTTCAATATTGGGTTATTTGCAAATTAGAGTAGCCCAGCCCACAGAAGCTGCCATTGCTGTGACTGCATGCATGTTTGACAAGCTACTGTCCTCTGCTTCTAGACATAAGTGTACAACAGGTACCCACAGAATGGAAAACCTGTTGGCATAAATGTTCCAGCTGCCGAAACAAACTACTGAAAAGTTAAAGCAAGCTCAGGAACATCCCATGCTTCTGGCAAGGTGGGATGGAGGAGTATGAAAGGCAAAGGAAGGTAAGCATTATTGTTCCTTGATGATTAAACAAGCACAGAAACTATGATTACAGATCACAGACATTTTTCATAACATGCCAAACCAGCACACAGAAGAACATGCCTCAATAATTCAGTCACAAAGTCAGTATTGGTTCTCCACACTTTGAAAGAAAACAGGGATCTTGTGAAAGAGAAGTCCTGCCCTGAGCCCCTGCTTTAGGCCAGTGAAGCAGTACAAAGCTTTTTAAGTATGCTGGAGAACAGGCACTGCTGGACATAGCCCTGGCAGAAAAAAAAAAAACCTGCTTCTTGTAGTCAATCCTCACTCTTCATGTCAGGAAGTAAAGCAATGTACATACACAGTGATCTCTGCCTGTCTGTTGGACTCCTTACCCCTATAAAACAAGCAAGAACAAACTCCAGGTAATTGTAACCTGCACCTAGGCTTCGACAAAATGTGCAGCTAAAAAATTACCCCTCGAGGAGCCCTTGTAGGTGGATAGTTTATTGTTAGAGAAGATCAGGTCCACAGAATTTCCTAAGAGCCAGAAGCAATGATTCACAGACATGGTTTAGGCTTGCCTTGACTCACACTGCTTGCAGTACCAACTACAGCCAGCCAGCCTGGTTTGCCCAAGAGAAAAAACAGACAAATTCAGTAGGAAACAAATCTTCTGGTAGTCTCAGTCCTCAACTAACGTAACCAACCACCCATTAGTTACAAAATTATGTTGATGATTCAATATTAATATTTTTATTTATACATTTCTGATGAGTAAGACTTCTTGTCAATTTTATAGATATATACCACTAATGTTATAGAAGAGAATATAGAATATAACATATATATTTTTTCATAACTGAATGCTGTCAAGAACTCAAATATTCAGTTCCACTTTTTGTTTCACTTTAAGCAGTTAGAAAAGCTTCCAACATATTTTGCTTTTTCCCTATCTGAATTAAAAAAAACCCAAACAAGAACACCGATCTCTCAGCACACAACTACAATAACACAGATTCCTCTTTTAGCAAATTGAGATGTTGAGCAGGTCACTTCAAAAGTGGTAAGATCAGAGGGTGTCTGAACAGATTCCTCTTTATCTGTGCCACTTCAGAAACCTGCACTCTCCCGGATTGCTATGCCTTGAAAAAATCAGTGCAAAGCGTAGTGATTTCAGAACAAAAAGACCAAGAGAAGACATAGCTAAACCCATAAATTTCACTGTATCTATCTCCCAGTAACAATATTCCACCCCTCTGGAGCAATCAGGTGAGAAATTCAAGCCTTCTAGCTCATAAAGTAATGTTTAAGAAAAGAGACCTAAGCTTACCAACTGTGAGAAAATTCGATAATCAAAACCAAGAACAAACTAAAAAAACTTTTGGACTATCATTGCCCTCTCAAAGAAAAACTAAAAGGTGACACTACACACCTTTAATGGGAAGAGCTGCATGAATCCTTCCCAAAACAGGATGTATAGCTTTAGAGTCTGTTATAGAGACATAATGCAGTAACATGAATTCAAATTCCTACAGATACTACAAGCAGGAACATCTCCCAAGTGATGGAGGCAAGTTATCGAGTACTGCGTGCTCCTAAAGAAACTCAACTTGTTCCTGCACAAGCTAGGGTTCCACATTTACCAAAAAAGGTAATTACTAGTTTTAGACTAAAAATAAGTAACTCC